GTCCTTGAATCAGTAGTAAACCTTTCTGATATTTTTTAAATTAAATGAGTACAACAGAGTTTGGTGCACATAATTGTATTTTTGATTAACTGTTCCCTTGATTAAAATAAGGTATACTATTTTTTCTCTTTTAGTTAGTTATGAAGTCATTTTGGCACAATTTAGGGTAGTGATTCCTGCTTGCTTCCTAGTTCCACTTTATTGGATTAATTTTGTCAGTACTTTTACACTAAGATATTAACTATCATTAAAGCTAAGATGGTATTCGGACAGACAATAGATATATTATGTTACTTGATCTATTCAGACAGCCAGTGCCTTTTTATTGGTGAATTGAGGCAATTAATATTTAAAGTTATTATTGGAAGTTATATGCTGATTTTAGTTCTGTTATTTTTTGGTGGTAGAGTTCTGTTCTTAATGGTACTATATGCTTTAGTAATTATAACTTTATATTTATTTCCATTCTCTTGACTATGCTCATTCATCTCCTTACTATATTTTATTTAAGTTTGGTATTTCGTATATACAAATTAAGGTGTTTTATACCATGGAAAGTTTTTCGGTGTCTTCAACTGTGGAAGATAGTTTTACTGGTCACCGTAATCTAGGTTGGCAATTGTAGAGCATAAAGTTTTCAAATATCTGTCCATCACCTTTTCTTCTTTGGCACCTAGTACATTAGCCACAACTGTCATTTCAGTTGGATTGAGAAGCACCAATAATGCAAAAGTAAGTTACTAAGAGAAGACTTCCAGAAAACAAAAAGGTGTATGTGTGTGTGCGTTTTGATGTCTTCGTCTTTCACCCTCTAAAAACTTTATTAGAAACAATTCCTTGATAACAGGTGGGTAAAACCCACATTGCTAATAAGAACAATTATCTTGGTTTCTTTTCCTGCTGTGGTGACAAAAATACCCTGACAAAAAATTACGGGATAAATGGTTTTCTATGCATGACTCCCAAGTCAAGAACACAGTTCCCCATGGTGTGGAAGTCATGGCATAGGAACTTGTATCATCTGGTTACATGGAATTCACAATCAGAAAGCAGAGAACAGTAGCTGGGCTTTGGTGGCACATGCTTTTAATCCCAGCACTCGGGAGGAAGAGGCTCTGTGAGTTCAAGGCCAGCGTGGTCTACAGAGTGCGTTCCGGGACAGCCTCCAAAACAATACAAAGAAACCCTGTCTCAAAAAAAAAAAAAAAAAAAAAGCAGAGAACAGACATTGCCATTGTCAGGTCACTTTCTTTCTTATACACCATAGTTTTCCCTCTCAAGACTTGCTCACAGATAAGATGGGTCCCTGGATCTCAATTAACCTGATGAAGAATTCCCTTCTTGATATGTCCTGAACCAATCCACAACTAACAATTCATTACACATGTGGTGTGCCTCAAGCCCTGGTGATCGAAGATGCTGTGAAGTTGAAAATCAGTGTTAAGCATCACAACAATGTTATGTAAGTTCAATGATGGTGACTGGCACCAGTATTGCAGCTTTCAGCAGTGACTCAGTAAGGAAAGTATCTTGGTTTTTACTTAACATAATTTAGTGTACCTGACCTCAAAATCTAATTGCAGAATGGAAGGTTCTTGCATAATGTTTGACAAGGTCATTAATTCCCAGTGGGACATTGGACTGGGAAAACCCAGCAGCTTTCAGTATAAAGGAGGAAAGAACTAGTAAAGTCATTATGTAAATGAAATTAAGACTAGCTACTGAAAAGAGTTTAAATACCTACAACCCCTCTTTGTTTTTAAGGTCAAGAAATATGATGAAGCAAACAATGTACCTGTCTCTTATTCAAAATTCATGAGAACTTGGGCTTCAACAGCTAAGAATACTTTCTGGTTTCGCAGAGGACCAGGGATCTGTTCTTAGCACAAATTCACTTATAACTAGCTCCATGGGAATTAATGATTTCTTTTGCCCTCTGAAGGCATATAAACACAGGAACACACAAATGCTTTGGCATTCACACACACACACACACACAAACATATAAATAATAGTAAAATAGTTTTAATTCAGGGCAATTTTACAATAGTGAATAAACAGTAATTCACTCAGGTAGTAAATTGTATCTCAAAGTTACATAGGCCATTAATGCTAGTGAGAAAGATACATTTTTCCAAATTAATGTTTATGGATGCATTTTTCTGCCCCAAGTATGCATTTATATATCACCTATTACTCTCTAAATTCATAATTTGTGACATTGTATACTATTCTAACAATGTTGTCAGATATACCTCTGGATGGGTCATTTTTGAGAATGGATAACTTGAAAGACACAAGCAACCCTTTAAATATTTTTTTTTACTGTACATGGTAACTCCATAAAATATAAACTTTGAGGAATTATCAAACACAAAGTACCCCCGAATCTAATCAGAAATAGAGTATATTTAAGCACACACTGCAGCCAACCAACATTAGAATCATTATGGGATTCAATGTTTCAGTTTTGAAAAATTTTATGACTCCTCAGCTACCATTTCTGAACTCACATATTTTCTAAAAATTATAATCATACATAAGGTTTTCCTTTGTTTTTATAGCACTTGTCATGACAAAGGTTGTGGTGGTGGCAGCAGCAGGAGCAGAGTGAGTGAGGAAAAGGGCCAAACACAAATCTTATTGGGAAGGACTCTTTGTAATTTAGTTTATTTGCAGAGAGCCTGCATACAACCACTATTTCTACTCCAGTTCAAAGGATGGAAAGGAATGTGAGTTACTCAATATAAATCTGCACTGGAGTTAGTTGCATACTCTCTGTTGATTGCATTTTGCCATACTGTTGTTCCATTATAAATTCACATTACTCTCATGGATAATGGCACAGACAAGAAATCTCATGAAATGCTGCTTTGTAAACAAAAATGAGAGGCCTGATAGTTTTCCATTATGAAGGATTTGTTGCCTTCAATACTAAAAGAATTACTGCATTAATACTGGAGAAATAATGTCCTCATGAGTTCTTGTTTCTAAAATTGTCAGAGCTTCACAAGTTCTCATTCAGAATGTTACATTTATATTGGATTGTAAAACAGCCATCCTGGAGACAAGTGTAAAACAGGTGCTAAAGCACAAAGACTTACGTTTATATGTCAAGTGATTATTTCCAGGAGCAAAAATCAAATTCTAGCTGCAATGCAAAGGAATGGAATTTTACGGTAATAGAAGACACTTTCCAACAAGTCTCACTACAGTATTAAAATATACAAAGTTCTCTACTTCTAAACATTGCTTTTATAAGTGATCCATAAGTAGTTGCTTTGAAATCCTCCCTTTCCTATTTTCTAAGCTTCTCATTTCTTTGTGATTCTAGTTGCTTATGCACAAACAATATACAAAATGGAGAAAGGCTATAGCTCCAAAAGTATAGCAGGGTTGGAACACCAACAAAAAAAATCTATGTAACCTTGTAATTCATGGATTTGCCCACCATACCAGTGGCTAGAATAGTCATTCCTCTGTGATTTCATCCTGGGAACTTTATATCCAAAAATGAATAAAATGCCCCCCATTCTAGACAAAACAGCAATGTATAAGGAGAGACATTCCAAGTGAGAAAAGAGGTTACTACATGTCCCATGAAACTAAAAATGCGTACCAAATTAAAAGTGTTAAAAATATGTAAGGCCCAAATATATTGATGCATACATTTCTTAAGTATAACAGGCACATAAGTTGTTCTTTAGAGACAAATACCATGCAGAAGTCATTTCAAAATGTTTTGGTAACCGCTTTTCAAAGATGAACTAAAGAAGGAAGCAAATTCTCTAGTCAATTACCTGCTGATATGAGGACTGAAAACTCTGGCTTTAAAGAACAGTGTGATCCAGCTAGGGAGATGATTCATTGGGTAAAGACACTTGTTGCTGAACCTAAAGACTGAAACTCTGTCCCTAGAGAGAACATGATATAAAGAGAGGATCAGCTCCCACACTTTGTTCCTTGTGGTCAACATGTGAGCCATGGCATGTTATGCTCTCCAATATAAATGAATAAATGTGAAAAAATTTTGAAGAACTCTATCATCTTTTAAGAGGCAGAGTAACTAACTATACTTGGAAAAAGGGCTAAACACTCTGCATCTTGCCATTCAACTAGCAAGTTGATTTTCCTACTTCTGGTTACTTTGCTAGGCAAATACAAAATAAAACTCTCCCCCCCAATCTATGTAATTCCTTTGGATTCTGTATCAAAGCAATTATTCATAAGTATTTATACCTCAAAAATGACCAAAAAATCAATCAATACCCAGATAATAAATTTAAATAGGTAATTTGGTTTTAATAATTTGTATGTTTTATTTCAGTCTGTCTGAGTTACTGCTGGGGTACTGCGCATAAAAGATAAGCAAGGCTTGTATTTGGAAGAAGTTAGGATGAGAAACCTCCTATTAGCATCAAGAACCAAGAGTGAAAATCAAGGTCGGAACTAATATTGGCCTCATGTAATGATCTGAGGTTGTTGCCCATGTCATTTTTCTTTTTCCCAGGAGCAGTGCTTTCAAATCCAACATAATACCTGTTTAATTCATAGATAAGAGGCAGGGAGAACAGCATGTTGAGGAGAAGGAAGAAGAAAGAGGTGGGAAGAAAGAAGGTAAGAGAAGAGATGGTAGAGGAGAGGAGAAGGGAAGGGAAAGTGACAGAGATGAAGAAAGGAGAGAAGGAGGAGGGGGATTAGAGAAGAGTTATGGGAAGACATGGAAGAGAAATGAGAAAAGTGTAGGGTAGTATAGTGGGAGGGAGAGATACATAGGGATTCACAAATTACTTAGAATTGTCTGAGACTGTGAGAGGTTTAAGAATATAGCCAACTTCTCTGGGTTCAAGAGTGTAAAGCACTCCTCCTGGAAAGAGCCCAATGCCAAGGCAATCTAGGGAACCCTGCCTAATTTACCTCATGTATCTGATCAAAAGGATCCATGATGGGAAAGTAAAAACTCACACAACAAACTGTGAAACCACAACATCCCACAGCAGTAAGGCAGCAGTTGTTTATTTTTAGTGACTGTCACACAGTGTTGGTACAGGGTGGAATCACATTATGATGTAATCTTCTTGAGAGAGGTTTTCTAAGGTAAGATTTGAAGCCTTCCACACTTATCAGATGCTTTCTGTCAGTTTTCTCCAGTTTTACAATTCTAGATCCAAACTGCATGGCCCCCTTCGGCAGGAGGGCTGAGGTTGTGAGGCCAAGTTCAACAGCTGCAAGGCATAGAAGGAGCTTCTCACCAAGCCCTCGCGGCAAAGACTGGTCCGTCTTCTCCCACACCACCAGGGAGTTTAGGAAAGAAACAACGTTCTCATCCAGGAAAGGAAACCTAAGTTCATTAAAAAATGGATAGTGACTACTATTAAAAAGTAGTTATCTGTCATTATTCACACAATGGCTAAAATTTAACCACATTAAAACGGTATTTAAAAACATATATGATTTACAAAAATATTCTAAAATCTAAACAAATTAATTGCCTATGGTATAAAGAAATAAGTTCAAGTTGTTTTAGAGTACTTCTGAGGATGACCCTGGTATACAGCATGATCATGAATAACCTAATTTATGTTTGACTAGAGCATGTCTACAGAAACTGAACTTTAGGGGCATGAAACCAGTGTAAAGGGTTCCTGGACTTGTAACACTGTATCAAAATTGTTTATTTATAATTTCTGTGTGGTAACAAATTGGTCAATATAATAAATACTACATTTAAAACAGAAAAAAGAGTGTAAATCACTCAACTGACAAATAATTCTATGCTGTTAATCCACATTTAATGATTGAGTAACTGTATGTTCTAAACCATAACCATTTTACAAAGAAAAACAAACACTAAAACATGGTGCATAGATAGTTAAAGAGAACATCTCTGAGAAGGAGAAAGTATTTTTCCACTTCCTTCATAACAGTATTATTTGTTTTAAATAAATACCTTGACACTATTATTTGGGGCAGGTGGTAATTGGAAATATATTCAAGATCTATGACCTGAGAGCAAAAGGGACAGAAGACAGCTCTTCTGAACAAAACTGATATGCTATCCACAAGAGTCTGGCATTTAATATTTCCAAAATTATTGTTGTGTGTCTCTCTGGGTAAAAATTTTAAACCAATGGCAGTACCATGCTTTGTGACATAAGAAAAGAGACACAATGATATAAATGTTAGAATACATATGAACAGGCAAGTGATCACTCAAAGGAAAATGTCAGTTCCACCAGCCTGCCCAGCATTGTTCACCAGTTTCTTCACCTCATGAAAATGTTGAATTCAGTTATGTGTCTCTCTAGAATAAGGAGATATTTACTCTGTTATGGTCAGCTTGTCCTGGGTCCCATGCCCTGCATATCATAGTTTCATTCAGTAATTCTTCAAGGAGCCTAAACATAGGAACAAATATTTTGCTATAATTGTGTTTTATGTTTAGAAATGGGAGGATATGTTACCTTAAATTTATACTTTATGAATGTTATATCCATATAAGAAAGCTTTCATCAGCTTCTACCTGATTATCTTTTAAGAAATGGACACATCCTCTCCAGCATAAGCTGTAGGTGTTTTTTACTTTAGTCATTCTGACAGGTGTAAGATGGTATCTCATAGATGTTTTGATTTGCATTTCAATGATGGCTAAGGATGTTGAGCAATTTCTTAATTGTCCTTCAGCAAAGGATTACCAGTCTATGATACACAACTCCAGAGAATCGAAGAAACAAGGAGGACCCTAACAGAGACATATGTGGTCCCCCAGAGAAGGGAAAAGGGACAAGAACTCCTGAACAAGCTGGGAGCATGGGGTAGGGGGCAGGGTGAAATGAGGTAGGAAAAATAGAAGGGGAGAAGATAAGGGGGGAGGAAAACATGAGGCATCAGGAAGATTGAATCAGGGGATGATCAGAGAACAAGAAAAGAGACACTGTAATAGAGGGAGCCATTGTAGGTTTAAAGAGAAATCTAGCTAGGAAAATGTCCAGAGATTCATGAGGAAGACCCCAACTAAGAATCTAAGCAACAGTGGAGAGGCTACCTTAAATGCCCTTCCCCTATAATGAGGTTGATGACTACCTTAAATGCCATCCAAATAGCTGATGGAAGCAGAACCAGAGAGCCACAGCTAAACTCCTGGAATCCAGTTGTAGAGAGGGAAGAGAGATATGCAAAGGGATCATGACCATGCTGGGAAACCCACAGAAACAACTGACCTGAACAAGTGGACCATCATGGGAACAGCAACATAGGACCAAAACAGACTCCCTGAATGTGGGTGACCGGAGGTCTGGGCAGTCAATGGGGCCTCTTTCAGTGGAATCAGTATTTATCCCTATTATGACAAACTTTGATGATTCCCTATAGAAGGTCGCACTCTCCAGTCTCCCTGGGGATTGGATGGGTTGGATGGGGTGGATGGGGGGATCAGTGGGGGGCATGGGAGGATGGGAGGATGGGAGGGGGAACTGGCATTCATATGTAAAATAAGATTGTTTCTAATTTAAATTATATATATACATATATATATACATATATATATGAAATCGTCACAATTTATCCATACTTTATTTGACTTAAACTTATCACTTTCTGAAGGACATAAAAACATCCTCTTTGGAGAAAAGAAAACTTCTGTATCTTACATATGAGGTCAAAAAATAATTCCTCATTTCCAAAGAAGTATACTTGTTATATTGCATTTATTTTACTAAAATTCTCGTCAAACTTGAAGTTTCTTTGTAGAAAATGTATACAGTCTAGTTAAGCTTTCAGGTTTCTGTCCACCGCCTTCATAATAGTGATTGGTAGAATATAGGAAGGAGGGAGAGTAGTGATGAGGTCAAACTTAGTGTATGAATATCACACTGAATCTTATTAAGATTTAAAATTAATGTTGCTTGTAGTTAAAATATTTAAGTTACCTAAAATAATTACTGTGCAATTATTTTAAGGAATACAGATTAATTCTGAAAATATAATGGCTAACTGAAAATCATACATGTGTGTACACAGAATCCATACATAAGGACTCACACACACATTACACAAAGTATATTAAAATTTCCTATATTTTATGACATGATATAATTGCAATATTTCTGAAGACAGTAAAATTGCTTTTCAAAGTCAATATTTTCTGAAAATGATAAACACAAAAGTAAGCAAAAAAATTTTTTTGCTTTGTTTGATTTCCAGTAATATAAAATTAACCTATTTTCCAGTTAAAATATGTTCTAGCACTTTTTTTAGTATATAAAAACTTAAAGGGAGCTTCCATAGTTTTACTAACTTAGGTAAATGCCATGACAAGATTTAAATCGTGGGCAGTTGACAAATGAACCCCAGAAAGGATGGTCAAAATAGAAATTATAGAAACAAATCTTCAACTTAATCCCCCACCTTTCTTTTTGTTTTGAAAATGCACTGAGTTTAAATTGGATTTTGTTTTTCAAAAACTGAACATCATGGGCTGTCCAGATGGCTTGTAGATGAGGGTACTAGCTGTGAAAGCACTGGAATTTGAATTTGATTCTAGAAACCATATAAAACCACATAAAGTTAGATGGAGAGTTCTAACTTCACAAAGTTTTCCTCCATGACACAGTCTGGTTAGTATTCTAACACACCCATACTTATTTTGAAGTTTAATTGTCTTCTCAATATTTTCACAAAAAAAAGTACAGCAGTATCTTAAAGACTCAATTACTTCCAGAATGCGTTGGTGGAAACGGAATGTAAGACAATAAATAGTTTGCCTTACGTAATGGACAATCCTTTAATTAATTATAGTGACTGATTACGTTTATTCATAGTGTGTGTAGTACAGGTTTCTGTTCAAGTAGCATAATAAAGGCCATAATGGTACTATCCTTTGGAAATTTTAGGAAAAGCCTGGTCCCGCTTCTGATTGAAATGTGAACACAACAGTTGAACATGTAATATAACTCTTCTGCCCAAATTCTCATTTTCAGGCAACTTCCCTTTAATTTTTGAAGTATTTTTCTCTGTGAGTTGGTTTCAGCTTCGGGGTACTGAATGTCAAATGTCTCAAATTTTTCCCTAGATGCCATCTCTTCTACTTCACAATTTGTGCTTACTAAAACTGTTAGGGCTAATGTAATAAATGTTAGGGAACAGTTTTTCCAAATAGAAAAAGTGAATTTGAATCCAGGGTAAATTTTTAGATACTCACTTATTGAATTGTGAAAACATTTTGTCTGTTGTTACTTTCTAAAACTACTAACAGATGATAATCACAAAGCATGATTTTTTTTTTTTTGGTTTTTATGAGACAGGGTTTCTCTGTATTGTTTTGGAGGTTATTGGTACTGCCCGGCCTCGAACTCACAGAGATCCGCCTGCCTCTGCCTCCTGAGTGCTGGGATTAAAGGCGTGTGCCACCACCGCCCGGCCATACAGCATGATTTTGAATACACATTATTAACATATTATTAGCCTGGAAAGTCAGTTTACTATATCTTTGGAATTGATCCATGAACACTGAATTGTACAAATCTGGACGTCTCTGATCCAGTGAGAAATAAGATAAAAATACAACTGGGCAAATTCAAGGAACAATAGGATACAAATTGAATAAACAAATAAACAGTGATATTTCTTGCCATTTTTTCTCCACTTTTTCAAGACGGAGTCTCTCTGTATAGCCTTGGCTGTCCCGGAGCTCACACTGTAAATCTCACTGGCTTTGAACTCACAGAGATCCACCTTCCTCTGAAGGTGAAATGCACTGAAATTAAAGGTGTGTGTCGAGCCGGGCGGTGGTGGCGCACGCCTTTAATCCCAGCACTTGGGAGGCAGAGGCAGGCGGATCTCTGTGAGTTCGAGGCCAGGCTGGACCGACAGCCTCCAAAACAATACAGAGAAACCCTGTCTCGTAAAACCAAAAAAAAAAAAAAAAAAAAAAAAAAAAAGGTGTGTGTCGAAACAGCCAGGTTTAACTATGGCATATCTTACTTGTGACTGATAGTCATAAAAAAGATGTGTATAATCAAAGCTGGCAGGCACTCTCTCTCTCTCTCTCTCTCTCTCTCTCTCTCTCTCTCTCTCACACACACACACACACACACAGAGCAAGAGAGAGAGAGAAACACAGAGACACACAATTAATAGGAGCTGATAGGGGATATTACATCCCAGTGAGTCAACATGGTGTAATAGACTTACTTTAAATACTACATTACATGAAGTATGTCAAGCCTTTTCTACCATCTATCCATTCTTTAGCAAGATAAATGAAACCAAGCACTACAAAGAGAATCAAGCCCTAGAAAACATGAAAATAATTTAAACTCCACAAACTATTTTCTACTCACA